ACAATTGCTACATATTAGGTTTGCTTAGATTAAAGTTTTGAAGATTATAGTCATAAAAATATTTTATTAAATATGTATCAGTAGATGACTCGTAAAGTAGCCCATAATTCAAATCACAAATTTGCTGTCATGATTACGTTTAGTAAAACTACAGATGGTCGAATATAGTTAGGTACATAAAATTTGAACATAAATATGATACTAAGGTTCGTTGTGCACCAGTTGAGAAAAAATGACTCGAGATCCATAATTTTGATAAAGCATGGATACCTCACAAAGAGAACATATACAACCGCAAAATGCAACTAAGAATGTTGCACATTATTTATGCCTCTTATAATTTAATAATTAAACTTAATTCAACAATTAATTTATTAGAGACAAAATGAGGACTTAGACCAAGACCAAATTATTTATCAAAATAATATTAATGAAAATTTTAAAAATTAAGAACCAGTATCAGAAGTAGAAAAATAAATCCATGTGAATATATTTACTGTACTTTTCTTTTATAACCATTTATTAAATATTTGAGAATAATAATTATATAAATTATTCTATATAAAAAATGTTCAAAAGTATCATAGATGTAAGTTTGAAGGGTTTTTAACCTCACTCAACCTGAATCAAAGATTAAAAGTTCAGTGATATTTGACTTATTTTAAACACAAAAATAAATATAACAAAAATGTTGTGTGTGATGAAAAGAAAAAAAATTACTTGAAATCACACGTCGCAAGTCTAATATAAAAATGTTACTTTTTTAACTAAAATGTTCCCAACGGATGACAAATCTAGAAAAAATGAAAATTGTTCGCACTGTCATAAACACGTGCTTGAAATATGACATATTTTATCACATTTCACGCACAAACGCAATTGAGTGAAGCAGTGGCATTACAGTGAAACCAACACACTCCTTGTGTATTGCGAGAACATCAAAAATAAAGAGGATCATTCTAAAAAGCAGAGAATAAATTTCTTTTTAGTATGCATGGAAAAAAGTCTTGATAATTTTATCGGAATATAAAATTACTTACCTCAGTTGAATCTGTAAAAATTTGGGAAAAATCACAAACACGTCAAAATCATGTCTTCAAACTTGAACAACAATGCCGAGAAGAATGGTACGTAGTTATGGCCTTTTCCGGTCACAAACGTTTGTATCGAAAACTAAAAATATTTTAAAATAACATTAATAATTAATTTCTAAATTTACATAAAATAATATAAAAAATGCGTCTAATTCACTTTACCGTCCATGCTAAATAAATAGATAGACAAAATAGAACAGGAATGATTCCAGATCAAAAGAATATTATTCCAAATTTGCTCAAAGGTATTTTAATTTTAATAAGGCGTGGTAGTGTATCACTATTAAAATGACGTTAAGTTATTCTTAAAAGTAAAACAATCACTATATATTTACATGTATAACTAATAAAAGTATTAAATAAAAAGAAATATTGTTTTTGCATTATTTTTAACAACGCTTGCATGTCTGCTTTCATTTACATATCTATATAACATATAGTAGTTCATTTGCATTTAGTTCAGTCAGCAAATAAACTTTCGAACTTTAAATTTTCGTATGAGTGAAAGTGTACGATACAAAATCATGGCTACACATACACTAATACGTTTTTTGTGCTATTTTTTTTTTCAAATACACGCTCTAGTCCATTCAGGTTTTCAGAAAGATATGCTAGCAGACAAATGATAAAATATCATACCCGCGGCCCTACTACAGCCAAACCTGATAATCTACATGAGCCAAATAAACAAGCACACACACACACACACACACACAAACTCGGTCGCTCCAATACATACCAAGCCGGTAGTAAAACGGACGACGTGAGCGCTTAATGAAGGTTATTCGAAACGCTTAACGCGCACAGCGAGTTTTTCACAAATTTAATTTTTATAAGTTGCTCATTCGTCTTTGTTACAAATTTCTTTGGTAGCTGCTCTTACTTTTGCATACCTTTGTGTATGTAAATTATCCTTTCACATCACATCCCACGGTTGCCGAAGTACGCTTGAGTGTGTGTGGTAGCGTGAGACAAATGGGTGCGCACACGGTTTTGCTATTTTTGCTGGAGTTTGAGTGATTTTGGAATCACATTTGGGCTCGTTTTGAATAGACAATTTTACATATATATATTTTTATATTATTTTTTATTTTGCAATATGGAATGGTTTTCATTCATATTCATTCATTATTAGTAAAATTAATTCAATGTTGAGAATGAAAAAATTGAATTGTCCTTAGGTGTTCTGACCAATGCTTGTGTGATTTTAGTCTTTCTAATCAACTGCTCGAGCTCGCGTCTCAGTGACTTTTGACTGTTTTGACTTAAATCAAACTTTTGTTAGTTACAACCTCATAAAAGTACAACGGATACGGAAGTGAACAAATAATTTTTTAATAATAAAAAAATATCGAATTTATTTACATGAGCAATTTTATATAAATTGAAACTTGTGGTATAATTTGTGCTGTAATAATATAGATAATAATAATAATAAGTAGACAGTATAAAAAAAAATTTTATTTTAAATATAAATTACTATTGATTTTAAAAAATAATAATCTTTAAGTGATTAATTACATCAAAAATAAAAAGACATTAAAAAGATAACTAAAATATATTCCAAATCGTTAAATCAAATCTACGATATTTATAACTTTTTTACTAAAATTAAATATACAAATGAACAAATTTTTCAACGAAACTGCGACACAAATGATATATTAATAAAATCAATATTACTTAATAGTTACGAAGAATATATATATAAGTATATTCATGTCACAATTATAATTCTAAGCAACTTAAATACATATATTATTACTTTTTTTAAATCTTTTCCTAAATTTTATATATTATATATATAAATATATATATATAATTTATAATAGAACAAATTAATTGACCTCCATTTATAATAAACAATTTAACCTTAATATAGTAACCTAAAATATATATATTATATATGCTTAAAATAAAAATTTAAATAGAATTACAAAAAGGAATTTTTCTCTGACATAGAAATTAATAAAATCACAATCACAAGAAACATTTGATACCAATTGAAATACTATCAATACTACCAATAAAAATAAGATAACAATTAGAATGTAGTATTCACTATTTACTAACAAAATTATCTTATCTATATATTTAAATATGATAAGAATGGGCGTTATATATTGGAATCAACTAGTTTTGTTTCAAAATTATTTACAAAAATTCTTTGTGTCATTTCATTCTGTAACTAATAATTAATGAATTCTCCAAATATCTGGAAATAAGCGAATAATTCCAATTGTTGAAACTGTCTGATAGGTCAATACTTCATTTACATCAAATAGAATACTGAAAAATAAGAATAGTTAAAATTATCTCAACATTTGAAACTCTGTTATTATTTTTTTTTTATTTATAAATGTAAATTACTTTCATAAATTTACAAAATATAGAATAAAGCAGTATTTCATATATAATTTCAAAAAAAGTTTAATTATATTTTTATCTAACAGTATTTAATGCTTTCGAATTCAAATCGATCAATGTGCAACGTACAGTCCTACTTTAATACAAACTCTACACAATAATGTGATAATGAGGTTTGTTAATCTGAAAACAGTCTCAAAAGTTCGCAAACGAAAAGCGCAAGAAAATTTCTTCATATTATCAATAATTTTTTGTTTTTCAGTATCATTCTGTTAGGTTTCAATAAATAAATTCAAAAGTTTGGGATTAACTTAAGATCTAAATATTAAATATGAGCATTCTGTACTAGTTATAACTTCATTCTATGATATAAAACTCTTTCCAACCAAATACGTTGTCATATCTGGTAAATACTTATTTCATTACTTTCATTTAATCCAATGAATGTTGACTCCAACTTTTCTTTTCTTTAGAGAAAATAATAATATTTTTAATAATTATTAATTTCATCAATCACAAAACAGTGCCCAAGTTCCATCGAAAATAGGATATCGATCACAAAACAATGCCTTAATACAAAACATATTTTAAACTTCACAGTACAGAAACTTGATGTATAATTTTATTGTACAAAATCGAATATGTTTTCAAAATCAAACTAAATCAAATCACTGAAAAAAACTTAATAGTTAACGAGATTATCAAAATATCAAAAGTAATTCTTAAACAAGGAAATGATACGCGGAAACCTCTTTAAAATCTACACAATTAAATTGACACAATTGGGGAACGTTAAGGACGTATCAGGAATGGAGTTAAACCACTTCTTAGATTCGAAACGGCGTTGATATCTTACATGATGCCTACAATACATTCACATATAAGTCGTGCCCTATCTTGCATCGTTCGGGACCAATGGGTCTGTATTTGGCTTATGGCTCACACTCTACTCAATGTTTCTAATAATAATAACAGTTATTAGTGAACATTGGGTTTTTACCGAATTCTGTACTTTTGACTGTGTTGTATTTATTAAGAAGTGTCTAATGAAGTGTTTAATTATTTTGTTTCTATTTTATATATTTAGCTGGAACTTTTATGATTTCTTTTTTACTTTCTTACTGCATTTAGGTACCTAGTTGTTTATTTTAATGCTTAGATTTGAGTGACGTTGAGCACTAATTACTTCCAAAAATGAAATAAATGAATTTACTTTACATATGTTATAAAACTTTCAGTCTGTAACTTAATCACTATAAACATAAAATTATGATGATTTTATAAAATCAATACTACTTACGATTTTATTAGTATCACAAAAATATATCACAAATTAATTTTAAATAACTAACAATTATTAAACAAAAACACTAATATAAACATAAAAAAGCACAGGTAAATCAATTTCATTTAAGTTTGGAACAGTCGCTTTGGTAAGCAACATCACAAAAATTTTCAAAAACAAAACTGATTGAAAGACTAAGTAAAAAAGAAAATAAGAAATTCAATTTACAATTCAATTAATTTTATACTGAATAGGATACTGGATCGCCGAGCGGAGTTACTTCTCCTCATCAGCAATTATCGGTGACTTGGGCAACACCTTGCAACGAGAATGCACCAAAATTAAAATTCAAATCAACTTCATACTATGCAGACGCAAGTTTAGCGGAAGCAATCAGTCCTAGCAATAGAGAAGGAAGGTACATTCCCAGTTATTACAAGTACGAAGACATTGAACTTTTGCACAACTGCACTTTTTGCACAATGACATATCTGTAAATATTTAAAGTGGCAAATAAGTATAGCAAGTTACAATTGTTGATTAGTTGCAAATAATATTTAAAATTTTGGAATCCGTAATTATAAAAATCTAGTATTATTTTGCTTTGTACTCATATCGTAAAAACTTGTATATTTAAAGGGCGAATAAAGCACAGGAGGATAAACTTTATGAGCCTGGCAGCAATCTAACAAGCCCAGTGGATACAATTGGTGAGTTTCTAAAATTAAGAATATTATTTAAACTAATGTCCATAATGAATCCAAAACAAATTATCAAGTAATAGTGGTATGCGTTGTAATTCGACTGCCTTTCTAATAACTTAAATTCTTTGTTTCTATGGAGTTTTGATTTTCACATTTTATTGCGTCAGAATTTAATTTGATTTAAAGCACGTAATCGAGACGTAGCTACTTGGTAAGCATTAAGTCTTGGCAGACGAGTAAAGTTGATCTGAACATCCACATTTATGGTTTTATGGTTCTGTTTGGGTGTTATGGTTACTCACACCCAAACTGACTTTTATTTCTACTTTTCATTTACTGCTATCATACCATAAAAAATTTTTTTCTTTTTACAAATACCATCCACATCTTTTCTTAATCGAAAATGAACAATCGTATTTTTTGTACAACTTTCGTTTATTTGGTATCTTCTACACTAAGATTTTCCTTTAACATGTCACTGTGATGAAGACAAAAACAACGAAAGTGATGTTGATGATGATGAGGACTACTCAATTTCTGTCTCGGCGATAATGCAGAGACGTGCCAGTGTACGTGGTAATCGAAGTAAACGCGGGAGTCGCAATTCAAGAAGAGCTTCCAGTCCAATGGATCACGTTTTAGATAGTGCTGAGCGACGACGCTCTAGTGTTTATACAACTAGTTCAGGTGAGTGGTTTTATACAAATAAATTCACAAGTATAAATATTGAATTAAATCTTTATGGCAAATAAAAAAACATTAAATATAATTTAAAAATATTTAGTTTTATTACAATATCTATAAGAAAGTATTATTTTATCATTTAACAGTAAAAAAATTTCTCAAATCTATAAAGATAACATAAGTACTTATTATATACAGTATAAATTAAATTCAAACAAAGTTTATATTATTAGCACCACACTTTACGTTTAAAGTCAATAAAATGCTTAAAAGCGGTACCTTGACATTTTCATTTAGTAATTTTGAGTTTATGAATTGAACAAATTTAACCATTTGACTTCCACACGGACTAATCAAAGTGAACAAACAAACATCACACATTCAATATACGTGACTTTTTCGATGAGATTAAATAGGCCTCAAAAACACATTGGCGCTGTGAAGTGGAACTAGTAGTAGCGTTAAGTAGAAACAAAACTGCCTTTTCAATTTTTGGTATGAATTCTATATATTCCACCTCTAAACCAATACCAACTGCGGCACTGTTTTTGTGGCTCCTGATTACATTTACTAACGCGACACACAAACTGTCTCGCTACCCATCTACTCTTCTCCTTGTCACATTCATTTGATTTCATATAAACCTTCTCGTTACCAGTATTCTCGTATTTCTGTTAAATTTTCATTTCTGCTTTACAGATGAAGGTACAAATCAAGAATCAACACAGGAACAAATTTTCGAAAATATAAGAATACATAAAGAAGTAATTCAATCTGTGAAATTACAGCCATGGCCCATGAGAAAGAAACTGAAATTAGTTAGACAGGTAAGTGCATAGGAGTGCGTGGCACACAAGACTTTGAATCAAATTTCGTAACCTGGTGCGGTGTGTGCTTAATTTAAAAAAGACGTAAAGAGCTCAGGTTAAAAGCTGTTAAAAGCTGTTAATGGCATGTAAGCAGCATAACTGACACGTATTAAGGGCATAAACTACTTCAGTTCAATAAGGAAATTCAATGAAATTTTTTTTTCTTCATTTCTTTATTTTATTCGCCATTCTCCATCTTTCGACGCTTCTATGTGAACGCTGTGATTTGGCGCCAAAATGCACGGATATACACATCCATGGTTACAGGCAAAAACATATGTGGCCAGACATGAAGGTGCACTGCAGGAACGCTTCGCCATGTCACGCAGTACAAGAGATTTGTGGGCGAGGTTCAAAATTTTAATGGCAGCGGTAAGTGAATTTTTCCTCTTTCAAACAACACTTAAAATTGCTGCTCACTTGTTTAGATATTTTATTTGATTTTTTTTTTCATCCACTAAATTTCACCATTGACATAAAAATATCAGGTTGGCAGTGCAAAGTGCCATTACAGTTGTGCCATTTTACACAGGATATTGCTTTATTATCGCTCGTGCAATATTTTGTCAATTTATTTTGGAGTATTTTATGCAATTAACGCAAATTAAATTATCTCCAAAATTAATTGCAATTTCACTAAAATTGTTGAAAAATGCAATAAAATTATAGATAGAGGAGATTAAAGAACAATATTGAAAAATTAAACAATATGGAATTAGTCTGACTTAATTGGCTAAGGGTCTTTACAAGAAAATATTTAATATTTTATTTATGTGCAGAAATTTTCATTTTATTTAAAATCTTCTATAATTACTGCGCGAAAGTAAACATGACGGTTTAAAAATATTAAAATTAGCTAATTGTAATGAAGTTAATTACTTATATATAATGTACTGTTTAAAAATAAAAATATTTGGACGATTAGAAACAGAGTTATTGCATCTCAAGTGGCAATATGTTTGTATCAGTTTTAATATAATCATCCAACACATATCTAACATTAAGTATGGTTTTAAAATTGGTAAACTGTTACACAAATTTTGTGGTGATTATTGATTGTCTCATGGCAAAGTTTATGATTGTTATAAGTGGTTTAGAAATGGTAAGTGGAAGAAATAAATTATAAGAAGCCTGTTAACCAACAAAAGTCCCTGATCACTGCGGATTTTAACAAATCTCTGAATGGATTCAACGATCAGTCTAAATTCGTAATGAAATTCATGAAAGTAGAATTTTAAAAAAACCAATTCCTTGTATTTTATTCAAACATTTAGATGTATTGCAACATTATTATAGCCAATATGCAAATTACATTCCCAAATAAAACTCTGGAAAACTACCTATGTATTTGTATTTATAGTGACATTTAGTAGCGTTGCTCTATTGGATCAAAAGTAAACTGTTTTAAATAAAATAATTAGGGGTTTTTGTTGAACATCACTTATGTTTTAAATAGCTGTAGCAATCACATCAAATCGTCGTATAGATCTCTATACCTGAAATAGCAAGAAATATTTGCGATATCTCTTGAACTATAACGAATTCTCTAAATTTCGCTTACGTATTTTAACTAAAAAGATGCATTGACTAGATGAGGTAGTCAAAACCTCATTTCTGGAAAACTTTGTAGGTAACACAAATATCGTACATTTAAATATTGCACTAAAATGTACAGTATCTTACATAAAATTACTAAGATTTTTTAAATATACATATATTTACATATATATATACATATTTTATATTACTGCAGGACTTTATATGTGCAAACTTAAAAATTTCAATTTAAAAATACTTTAAAACTGTAAATATATTTTTTTATTTCACGTTTGTAGCGTTGGCGGCATTGGAAACGAGAAACCGCCAGTTTTCTAACGGTTTTGATACCCTGGGAACTGCGTATCAAGGAAATTGAATCACATTTTGGTTCTGGCGTTGCATCCTATTTCACTTTTCTGCGTTGGCTTATGTGGGTGAACATTATGATTGCCATTCCGCTTATGGCATTCGTCATAGGGCCCGAGGTAAATATATGTTTTTTTTTATTTTTATTTTATGTATTTCCTATATAAGGAACAAAATATTTATACATTTAGATTATTTTATTTACTGCAACATGAGAATGTGTCGACACTTGACTTTTTCAAAATAAAAGCAATAAATATTCATTCTGACATATTGTCATAACAAATATTCATCATATGCTTTGTTTATTTTAGTATTTCGCAACAAAATACAATGAAATCGATCCACGAAAAAAAATGTCAGATCAGGAATTCAAAGTGGCAGGAAATTTTTTGACATTTTGGGAGTTCGGCGGTTACTTGAAATATTCTCCTATGTTTTATGGGTATGTTACATAATAGTTTACCATTAATTGTCAAATAAAATATTAAAATAACAAAAAACTGTTTATTGTTACATGCAGTTACTATTCAAGTTTTTCTGGTGCAAGTTCATTGAGCTATAATCTGCCTTTAGCCTATTTTTTAACAGCTGTTGTCGTTTATATATATAGCTTTGTTGCTACATTGAGAAAGTAAGTAAATCATTTCTGCATCGTTCTATATTTTATTATAAATTACTTCAAATACTTTACTTACGTTAATGCTTTAACGTCAGACATCTCTTAAAGTAAACCATAAAGTTTAATCAATAACGACGTAGTCAAAATATACTGAATTATGTGGACTGATAAAGCGTTATGTATGTCAAGGTATGTTGGAGGAATATGTATCATACTTTTATACTGTATTCCAGGCACGTAACTATTCAAACTGCTAAAACTGCTCAGACTTCGCATTACACTTGAAAGTGGTGTCAAAATTACAACGATTTCTAAGTTGAGTATTTCTTTAGTTGAGTCCGAAGTGTGCACAGTAACGTTGTCGAGCTTAAATGTGCTTGTTAAAACAAAATTACTAAGTAAATACAATTCCAACAGATATATTAAGCAAACAAAATGTTCGTCTAAATCGTCCAATGTCTAACCAGTTGCCGTTTCAGTAATTTTCCAAAAAGTTTTATTATGAAGAGATTTTCTTAGTTCTTAAATTGACCCATTTGGAGTACAATAAAGAACAATCAGGACAATAGTAATAAGAACAAATGAGAGACAAAGCATAAGCATTAAACACATAAAAGTAGGCATAACTTAATCAAAAGCCCTAATTGACATTTTATGTGTTGTTCACTAATTAATTAATGCCCAATGAGATTCTTTGCATGAGCACAAAAAACAAATCAATTTAAGTGGATTTTCAGCAAATAATGTTTGTTGAGTAAAGTGAAAGATTTTAGCTTTTGTGATTAGTAAAAGTACGCTTTTACAAGTCATATGCCATTTAAATTAATATATCATTTTTTTATAGAACTTTCAATAATAATATGAAGTTTTGTTGAAATTTTACAAAAAGTTTAAATAAGAAGTATGTTAAGAATTAGTTAGGAGAGAGATTTATAAATACGGAATCAAATTATCAATTATAATTTTTACTAATAAAAACATAAAAAAAACATGATTAAATCCCAAGATGATGAAGATAAACCGAGTAGATCGTAGGTTGATCTCAAAACTACATTTTTTGTGTAGTATTGATGTACAGTGTTTGCCAAATCACCTAAGTGCAGTTTTGCAATCATTTGATTAAGGACAACGAGAAACTTTCTTTATAAAATTATGACCAAAATTTAAAGGATCTGTTGCAATACAAGCAAACAATGTATCTATGAAAGAGGAATGAGCAATCCTTAAAAAAACAAAGCCGCATAAAGTATAAAATTGATTGAACATAAATGATTGAACATCTCTACATAAGAGGTTAAAAAACATCGATATCACAGCACTAGAGCAAATAATAAGAAATTCTAGTTTGGTTATACAAACTTTCGATAATGTGTACGAGTATTAGTGTTAATGAAAAAATTTGTAAATTTTTTTTAAAAAAACCATACTTAGGTCAGTGAAAACGCAGATTAAAAATATGCGGGAATGTGTATTGCACGATAATGAGTATTGATAAACATAAGATAAACCAATAAAAATTTTGAATAATTTTCAGTCATATTAGTATGTCATAAAAACCTTCAAACATTTGAAAGAAATCTGTTTTGAATCCATTTAAGTAAAAAACCATTTATATACATCAAATTAAGTGGTTTAATGGACATTAAATTCATATATGAGCTAAATGCTCGAATAAATACTTTTGAAGGTATTGAGGGTTTTTCTTTGATTTTTGATAAATTTACATCTTATTCTCCTCTTGTTATTATAGTGATATTATAGTGATTTTACCTAAGTAACTTAATTTTTATAGAATGGCAGAGAATTCAAGAAATTCCAAGCTGTCCTCTAAGGACGATGAATGTACTTTTTCTTGGAAACTATTCACTGGCTGGGATTTTATGATCGGTAAGTAATGTGCAAATCCTACAAAATTATTTCCATTTATTGCGAAAACTTTAATTCATTTCTGTGTGGTTTTTCGTGTGGCCAGGTCACGCTGAAACAGCTCATAATAGAATTGCATCTGTTGTGGTTGGTTTTCGAGAATTTTTGTTGGAGGAAGCGGAAAAGAAGAAGGATAATCGCAAGTAAATAACAAATGTCATTTCTGTTTTGCTAATAAAATGTCATATTCTGAAAATATGTATTAATATATTTGTTTTTGCATAAAACCAACCAAAAATCAAAATTGGAAAAAAGTTTTAAATTTTAAAAATATTGAATATATTAATATTAGTTTCAAATCTTTATAAATCGTAATTACCTATTAAAATAAATAATAAATAATTCAGTAAATAAATTTTATACTAAAACCTTTACTCCAGATAGTCCCAGTCTGTCATCAATGTTGCCAAGATAGTCACTATTGCTGCTATCAATTTCTCTAAGTTTTATTTTAATACAGTCGTTCTTATTACAGCTAACGTTTCGTTTCAGTTGGCGCATTATTTTGCAACGCATTCTAGTGAATATATTAATACTGGGGTTGTTGGCTGCCTCTGGATACACGGTCGTGGCATTGGTTAATAAGTAAATAATTTTTTTTCAAATAATTTACAACAAATAAATTATTTTTGAGTAGCAATATTAATGAGTTTTTGTTTTTCTAATCAAACAAAAATTTAACTAAGTATTTATTTATTCTGTAGTTCGGAGAAGTTAGCTCGTCAGGATAATTGGTTAAGTCGAAATGCAGTAAACGTAACAATGACATTATTGTCCTTCTTTATGCCAATGATATTCGAGGCTTTAGGTTTATTCGAGAACTGGCATCCACGTCAACAATTAAGATTACAATTAGCAAGGTAATTCAATAAATAATAAATAAATTTTGCCGTCAAATATAAAATGATGTATATCTCCTACCGTTTCCAGGATTATGATACTTAACATGCTGAATTTGTATTCCCTTATGTTTTCATTTATCTATAATATCAACAGCAAAGAAAAACCATTACAGGATTTGAAACTTAAAAACGAAAGCGCTACGCATGAACTGGCAGATCTGGAGTTACTGTTGGCTGGATTAGATTCAATTACAACTACAACCTTTAGTCTGGATTACACAACAACTACAACAGAGCTTTTAGATGAGTCTAGCACTAGTACAACCGGTATGTCAGAAAGTGATATTTATAGTACTACCAATGGAAATGGCAGCACAACAGATTTATTTTTGAGTACAACTGCTGCCGCTATTTACAATACAATTAAGCGACTAAAGTGCTACAATATAACTGTAAGATGCTCTGAATTAACGCGAGTCAATAATAATCGAAACTTAACGACTACTCTACTGCTGCTAAATCTGACCACAACTATGATGCCAATGACTACCATCTTAAATACAGATGTGCCAACAGAAGATTCAACAATTCATCAACAGGAGACAATATGGACCACACTGCCACCTACAATGATTATCAACCCTACAATGCTATCTCCTAGTACAATAACGGAAAGTACAATTACACATACAATTTATGGTACAACGAAAGGGCTTACAGAATTTGTACCGACTACAACAGATATGGCCACAGCGACAGCAACAGTCAAAGACGTAACAACTTTTGATTATAAAGATACCACAAGTGTGAGTGATAAAACTTACGTATCGCCCAAATTTGAACAGCAACAATCCACATCAACAACAATCCGATCACCGGGTAATGATAGCTTCTTTGAATATTACGATTATTTTGCTGGAATGCCATTTGAATCTGAAGATGCTGATTATGTGGCGGACAAAAGAAAACAAATAACAACTTCTAAACCAGAAAATGTGTTAAAAACTTACAAAGAGACGAATAAAAAAAAATCAAAACAGTTGCATCGGAAATCAAGAGACTTCCCAACAGCATCTAATATTGAGAATATAAGAAACGAAGTATACCAACAACAGCTACCCAAAACTAAAAACAGTCGTCGCCGCAATGAGCAACTACCATCGGCTACTACAACGGCTACTTATCCAAATTCAGATGAAAAACAGCACACATTTAATACAGAATATTCCAATTTCCCAATAACAACAAGAACTGCAGCAAATGTCGTAACAACTACAATGGAGACAGAAGCAGAAACGGAAAAAATGTCACATCTACTAACCACGTCCGTGAATAATGCTAACGCTAACAGAATTGAAAACGAAGAACTCATATCTATCGAGCCACCAAGTTTATGGCAACCAAATGCAAATCTTAGAAAAATACTTGAGTATTTCACAACCTCCACAACGCCCACAATACCCACTACCTCTGAGACTGCTGCACCCACAACAACCACAACTATAACTGAAAGCACCACTTTGAGAACTGTGGATTATGACACAACTCTACAATTCATAGCAGACGATGATATAATAGAAACCGATAAGCCATATTATATTGATACCAATGACAATTTTTTTGATGACAATTTTGATACTTGCATACGCACAATCTGTGAGGAGATCCCAGTGGAGCAGTACGCGAGCACAACAGAAATAGATGTGACAGTCACTCCATCAGCAATACTAAATACAACTGACATCACTACTCGCGCAAGATCCTTGCAGCAAATATATCAGGAACGCTGGAGGAAAGTCAATTTTCGCATCAAGGAGGTGCGCAAAAATTTAACTAGTATGTGTTGGGAAACCTCATTGGGTCAGGAGTTATCCAAAGTCATAGTTTACGAAACTGTAAGTATAAATTATTGTAAATATACATACGATTTAGTACAATAGTTTAAAAATGTAATAGAATACCACAAAGAAGAATGAAGCTACGTTTAAACAAAATTTATTTAGTTTTCTTTTGAATTAGGCAATTTATGTCAAACTTATTTCTATCAATAGATCACATCTAGGAAAGTAGTTCTTGCACATGTTTTCTCCTTATATTGAATATACTCTGCTTAACAGTTATTTTGACTTTCTATGTATAAGTATAGACTTATAAGCACATTCAATTAATTCAATTATATCAAAAGATAAATTGATCTTTCAACTAATTTTGGTAATTTTTGGTTTTTGTATACCTATACTTTATTTTTCTTTTTTACAACCATAATCTAGTTTTGATTGCATCAAAAATCCCGATACACGCCATAAATAGTAAGCAATGCATGCAGATTACCCACCACAATTAATTTTATATCAATTACGGAATATGTTTCACACGCGCTCTCTCTCTGCCAACACTGTGTTCAACTCAACTTATTTATTTATTTAAAAATATACAATTTATACACAATATACGTCCAAGTTTGTTGTTCTTGTTGTTGTTGAACACCTATCAGTCTCATGGGCGGAACAAATGATAGTAAAGCAAAATAACGTTTTTCAGAACAAAATTATTAACTGTTATTTTTAATCATTTCTAAACAAAACCTCTTCATAAACACATTAATTGTCACAGTAATTGTCAGAGTAGTTGTTTTACAAGTTTTTTACAAGTAAACTAAGATTTTTAGTCAATTTAAAAGAATCGAAAAGAAATTGCAATGAACTTTTTAGCAAGATTTGGTTTTATGATTTTTTTTACTGATTGAAAATATTCCTAATTTTAGTTTTAAATTTTGCTTTATTTAATTTAACACAAATTCTTGATTAGTTTCGTTGGTATTTAACGGTTTAAGAACATGACATTAATGATAAGAATTATACTTTTTGCTTTATCACTATGACATAAAATTCGGAAGCAGGTGTGAAATTATACAGAGTGCAGGAAGTCCCATCCCTAAAACATCGAATTTGTTTTGTGCAGAAGACTTAATACTAGTCACGTAAAATTAGTCACCAATGAAAGATAGGACAAATCTCGAGTGAAAACATTGACGAATGTATAAATAAGTATTGTGATACGAATAATATAATAAACTAACAAACCATTCAATCAGAGAAGCAGCAAGCTAAAGGATATTAAAACGTACCATGCACACCGAGTTGATGGATGTCCTGTAAATGAGTTTAATCTATACTAATCATATAATATATAATATTACAATATTACTACAATACTAATCTGCTATAACTTCTAGTCTCTATGTATAAAATTATTGAACGTTATTTTGATAATTACTTTTCTTTGTAAGTTAAATAAATTCGAAAGTACCAAAACTGAAGATGTAATAAAAAAAAGAAAAACAAAATATTATTTAGAATTCGAACCTTCTTTAATCAGCCAACAACACATGTTCTTGTAGATAAAACAAACTTGAACATCAATTCTGGCTTTGCGGAAACGTTTTCAGCATCTTTAATTGAAAATGATTGTATTACAGTTCCACCACTTAGTCACAATAATATTCGTTATATTTTTGATTCTTTATTATTGTGCAACAACTACTGCAATCGAATGCAGTGAGTTTTATCACAACAATGTATGATAACTAATGCTGGATGACGATAGTTTAGCGAAAAAGATGTTTAAAGTAGCATTTAGAGAGAGAAGACGTAAAGGAAGATCGTGTCTTTGAATATACTAAATTAGAGAATGTATGAACGCAGCAGATACATTTTAAGAAACATGCAGCATTGTGTCGAAACTCAATCACATTATAATTACACATTAGTTTGTCGTAATTTGTTTGTTATTGCTAGCATTTTTATGTATGAATAAATAGATTCTACATAGACCAGTTTTATGCTTGGATGCCACAGCGGTAAATTTAGTTCCTCTTTTTTAATCTTACTCGTTTTTTACACATATAATAGGTATTACGCATTATATATAAACAAGAAAATGAGAGTTTAAAAAAAGTTGAAAATGTGAAGAGAACATTTCAAAATTTTTCTAAACCCAAATATATGAACTCGATACTATCACGTTGTCGTTATCATTTATTCTACTTATCCTTACTTTCTAATTATGTTAATAAAACGTAATAGTTTTTGAGGTGTTTAACCCTGCCATACGATTCTTCAAATGCTAACACCTATTCTAACTCATCCATATTCTGCTTAGTCATCCTCTTCCCACCTTCCGTAGTAAGTTAATTAGTTAACTTTAGTTAATGTGGTCTGTCTTCCAATATAATTAAGTTCCATTCATCAACTGGCATCAACTGTCTTCCAATATAATTAAGTTCCATTCATCAACTGGCATCTTTCTGACGATTTTCTTTTTAAAAGCCAATAATGTTCTAGTTTCAGATTTTGTCAGTTTACGTTCAAGTATGGTAGAACAAGCCTTTTTAGTGCTTTGCAAACAAGATTTTTATATACTCGTATATGTATTTAACAAAGTTTACATCAAATTTAGTTAAATTATACACTTATATTGAAGCATAAATTAGTTATCAATATCAAATTTAAACATGTTTAAATTTTTCCACAGCTAACCACAAAGCAATAAATTTATGTAAAACCAAAATTCATTTGTATGCATAAAAATATTGTTGGCAAAATACTGAAGTACTTAAACAAATATACCAATAAATCCAGATTGCCAAATTAACCAGAAATTTTCACAAAAATTGATATTTATATTCTTTTCAGTTTAGTTCACATTTTGAATTGACGTTTTTCGAATATTTCCGAACACAAAAGATATTTTAAAACACGAATACTCGAATATACAAATGTGTATCAGATTGAAATAGTTCAAGTGCTGTGCTTCACACAACCACAACAACTCTACAGATATGGATTGGTTTTGATTCTCTCTGGATCAACCTTATTTGCATAAGGTTGAATAAAGCTGAACAAGCGTGATGGCAAAATTTATCTTGATAATCTTTTGAGTAGAAAATACAAATCATCTCACAACAATTTCATTTTTTCATTTCATGTGATTTTTTACCGCAAATACACACAAAAAACACCTAATACTCAGGGGAGCCAATTATTTTGTGCACATGCAACGCAGACAGAAGTTAGGAGTTTAGAATATAAGTGTGTGACAACAATATGTTACAGATGAAAGATACAATTAATATGTGTTAAGTGAAGTGTTACATCAATCATTATAGATGGGTAACCAAACTTACATATTTAACACATCAGAAGTTGTTAAAACTTGATAATTTCTTATTCAAAGAAGCTAACTGAAATACTGATGAGTTTTCAATTCATACAAAGGGAAAACTTTTTATTGCATATTGTTTAACTTTTAACATATAATCGCACCCATTCCATACTATATACACTTCGCGTTCCCATAAAATTATACGCCCATTTTTATTCGAACAGACTACAAAGACCAAAAATTAAAATCTTTTTAAAGGTTCAAAACTTTGTGGGTTTCTTTTACTCTAAATCGAAAGTTAATCTCTGTTAAAAATTTAAAATAAGATACAAAAGGGAACATTTTTTTAACTTGTTAGAGAAAAAGAACTTCTGTAAGTGCGAAATACATTTTGCACCCATGTAATCCCTCTTCGTCGACTTAAAAAACGACTCGAAGAACAAGATACCAGAAAACTTTTGACTTTTGTAACAATTTAAAGTTTTAAGGAAAAAGTTTTAACAATGCCTTAAAAAAATAATTTTTTATAGCAATGTTGTTACAAAACTGAAATGTTGAAAATATAAATTCGTTTCCAAATAAATTGACTCACTATTGTTTTACGCTGATGATAAATATTTTGTAGGATTTGTTTAACTTTATGGATGAAAATTCACCTGTCATTGTACTATATCAATCATATCAAAAATGAATGCATTCTCTTAACTTCTATCAACTTCGTTTGTGATGTACAATTCTAACTTAACATAAGGTCTCTGCTTATATGGTGGAAACTAACACCAACCGTTCCAATCTAAGTAACAAAGTGGGCAGTGGTATATATTCTTATGAATTGAGACTTAATGTCAATTAAGACTTAGAAGGTCTTTCAAGCAGAGGTAATGGAAATGCATTATGCACTGTAATGGATATAGGCTCTAGAGCCATACGGTTTTTTATATGAATATCAGAAACAAGTTGCAACAAAATCTCTGATAGACGTTATAGCTGATTTTCTTGCAGTACGTGAATGCAGGACTTTAATGGAGCGGACCAACTCACTAAAGTATATACACAGCACTCCTAAATACTTAGGATTGGCAATGAAAGCCTGTATAGACAAGAATTCTTGTCAGATCAAAGAACTTGGCCAAAATTGAACAAATTTCAACCAGCCAACTGCTTCAACTAAAGCGGAACTAGTTCGGTACTATGGATCAATGCTAACAAGCCACTACTTATTAGAACAAATACAATAAGATTTTTTTAACACTCTAACGAATTTTGTCGGTGTTGTAGATCTACAGATGTGGAGGAAACTTCACGTCTTTTATCAGTTCTCATCATTGGTTAACAGAAAATTTAGAATCTTTCGAGCAATTTATTTGTGTTGGTTGAGCTGTCAACTTTATAAAATCTATAAAAAGATGTTTCAATTTTATTTATTTTTGTTCAAATTTCTCCTAATACAACTGAAAAATTTTTTATTACAGATTATGTCAATAGTTGCACCGTTATGCATCGATTTTTTACGAGCGCTTTTTGTAAGATATGTTAATCCGAAATGGTGCTGGGATATGGAAAAAACCTTTCCACAAGTGTGTACGATTCAACTTTTTTCCATCTAGAATTTTGTTCACTTTTAAAAAATTTACAAATCTTTCCAGTATGGAGACTTTAAAATTGCCGAAAATATTTTAACGTTAATCAACAATCAAGGACAAGTGTGGATGGGTATTTTCTTTTCTCCAGGTCTAGTACTTCTAAACTTGGTTAAACTAATAATAATGATGTATTTCCGGTCTTGGATTGTACTTACATGTAATGTACCACATGAAGTCGTGTTCAAGTAAGCAAGATAACAGTGAAGTTAAACTATTTTATGTAAACAATTTTTATTTAAATGAATATGATTAAGTATGTATATCTTAATACCTTATGATATATATGTTTATATGTTAATGAAATGGAATTTCTACAAGTCATATCTACATGATATTTTAAATATTTTATTATAGAGCATCGAAATCCAACAATTTCTATCTGTCATTACTATTAACAATGTTGTTTTTATGTGTTCTGCCTGTTGGTTATGCAATAGTATGGCTACGCCCTTCATGGCATTGTGGACCTTTTTCAGATTACAATCGCATTTCAGAATTTATAACAAATACCACTAGAAATGCGTTGCCTAAGTAAGTTTGGTAGAATCTCATATATTTTATTTGATATAATCGAGTAATTATAAACTCTTTAATTTTTTCATACAGGCAATTGCATGAACCTTTGGAATATTTAACCTCATCGAGTACAGTTATTCCACTTCTTCTGTTATTGATTCTCATTATATACTACTTAGTTTCTCTAACAGGAGCACTGCGTGAAGCTAACCAGGATTTACGTACGCAACTACAGAAGGAACGTGAAGAGGAACGCAAAAAAATATTCAAGGTACCAGAAACCAAACAAACTGAACCCACGGCAGCTACTTTAACCAATAGGTGGCGGAAAGTTCTTGAAGCTTCTTCACCAATAACACCAACACAGCCGCCAGATTTTAAATCGGAAGAATATAAAAATCAGGCTAGGAAAGGTAAACTCTCAAATATGATTAATAATAAGAAAGTTAATGTTAATAATAATGGTTTAGAACTAATAACGCGCATAATGAAAGAAGCTCTTCGAAAAGGATCAGCCACATCTGATGATGATTCTTTTTTGCGCAATAAGCGAGATGAGGATGATACGGATACCGAGTATAATGAATCACTACCAGATGATGAAAAAACAAAAGGAAAACAATTTGGTCTTTCTAAGCTGCAACAAATACGTCGCACACGGAAACCATCTTTAGTAGATATAGTTCAGATTGCAAAAAGTGAACGGGAACGAGCAGCAGGAAAGGATGTGCATTCAAAAGGACGTTTGAAAATAGAAAAACATGACAAGCGTTCTAAAGATAAACTTTTTAATAAAGAAAACAATACGGAAACCGTTCAACTAAATAATATGGAAGAAAAAGAAAATACTATGAATTCAAAAAAAATTATTTCAATGTCTTCTAGTGATAATGATTTTCAAATTAACTCTAGAATTGTGAATGAGCGTCGCCAAAGCCTTATGCGCAACGAAAACGAAATCGATGATGAGCACTATAATGAAATGAAAAGTAATGAAAAACAGACCCAGAACACAGAGAAAACAAATTTTCAAAATAATGAAGCGAAAAATTCTGTTAATCCAATTCAAAAAGCAGATGAAACGAACTTGAAAATTAAGGAATTTTTAAAATCTTCTCCTAACGATAAAAGTAAATTCGAAATTATAGATGAGAAAAAATCGTTATCTGATCCTATTACAGATTCTCCTATCCAACACAAAGAAACTATACTGCAACATATGCAAAACGGTGCAAAGTCTAAACACAAAAGGCACAAAACCAAAACCACAGCGAGTGTCATTTCCATAGAACCAGAAGTATTTAAATTTGATGAAAAATCTATTGAAAAATCGAATTCATTTGAAAAAGAATTAAAATCAATGGGAATACCTGCTACACCAACGAGTCCAGATATTTCTACAGAGTCACATGTGGCAAAGAATAGTAATGTACCAATATTTATAACACCTAGTAGTCATAAGGACGCTAACAACACTGATCTACTAATTAATCTCTCAAGACAAGGTCGCAAGAAAATAGGTTCACTTTTGGCACTTGTCCGTGAAGCCGTAAACACTAAGAAAGCTGAAGAAGAACAACTACAAGTCAATATCAATTCCAATCATCAAACCACAAACGCTTTTAGCGCAAGTAGCAAAAACAATAATATCAATAATAACACAGCCATTGATATGCCGTTAACTCCTGAAGCATTACTACCACATCAACTACCTACTTATGCGCAAGTTGCTGCATTTAAGCAACCACAAGCTCATGCACCACTGGAGGATGCTGAAGAATTAGATGAACCTACGCCCATTTGCTTTCCTCATCGCACCGTTTCGCAAAGTCATCGCGCAATGACTATACGTCAAGACTCTCAAACTTCAGTTTGGTCAGACAATATACCTACCATTACCATAAGTACAACAGGAAGCGAAGAATGCATTGCGGAACTAAAAGAAGTGCCAACCTCAACTAATGCTACAACTCCTACGAGTCCAAAAATTAACATAATTAAAATTGAAATGGAAGTGGAACAGGAAGAGGATAAAAACGACAAAGATAATAACAAATGATATAATTAAGCAATTCGTTTTTCGTTTTGAAATAAACAAGTTTCTTCTTTCGCTTGTCGTGCATTTCGAAGTTTTTAGTGTTAAAATTTATTAATATAATGCATTTCGGTAGAAAATAAAACAATTATCACATTTCGCACAATGATTTTTTATTTGTCTTATATTCTCGTTTAAGATATTAAAACGATACCTAGACCCCTGGTATCAAATATTTTAGAAAACTCGTTTCGTTAATTTGGTAAAATACAAAATAACACATCAAAATATAAATACCTTATTCTTTAAAATGCATTAGTTTTTTTGTTCATCCATAGTCATTAATAGTCAATAATATAAATTAAATTAACAAATTAAAAAAAAAAATTTAATTAGTTTAAATTTAATTTAAATATTTTAAAATTTTAATTACAAATTAACACTTAAACAATTTTTTGGACATATATAACTGAACTAATAAAACAGAAACAAAATGTTGATATTCCGCCAAAAATAAAAATAATAATAAAAATGTTCTCTTTTGTCTCTTCATATTTCTTAATAAATATAAACAAAGAGCTGACTTTTATTTTCTTTTATCTCTTATTTTTAATCAATCCATATCCAGTATTTTTAATCATTATCCAGTAAGTTGGAGTAAAATATACTAAAATTATCCGTGTCTCTCTTGTAGTTTACCATCTGTTCATTATTTAATATGATGTGAATAACTTCACTCATAAATCTTTTTTGATAATTATTTTCAATTTCCAGAATTGTTACTTCATCAAAGTTGAAATTATGTTCCTTCGAATGAGACCGTTCGGTAAGAACTGTTTTTTTCCAATCACCTTTTCGTTTACATGTACTTTTGTGCTCACTAACTCTTTTTCCCAATCTTTGTTTTGTTGTTCCTATATAAGCTCTATTACAATCATTGCAATTGATCTTATATATAAGATTAGATAAATTTTCTTTCTTTTCTTTATCCTTAATCTTTGAGAATAAATTCTTTGTTGGTTTTAAGTTGTACAGTAGTGGTGCCAAACTTCGTTACTTTTGGGTATTTGTAACTACCCGTTACTTTTCGAGCATGTATTCGTTACTCAGTATTCGTTACTGCACTTTCGTTACTGCGTTTTCGTTACTGCGTTTTCGTTACTGTGTAGTCGTTACTGAAGTTTAAATGCTTTTTTTCGGCAATAAAAGAAATTTTTAAAAGCATATATATTTATTATAATAAATTGTAGATTTAATAAATTCGAATTATTATTTTATTGAATTGTTTGATCCGCATATTTTGCATTTAGCTTTTCACGTCCTACTGGTTCAAATGAATCCAAATTTCACTTTTTTAAACATTTTTAATGAATTTGATAGCGAAGAAAAATTTTGTTCAAAATAAAGTAGTTATTATTATATCGCAAAAACAATTGCTTAAAAGTAATCGTTACTAAGTACTCGAAAGAGTAGTTATAATAAATATTACTCATTGGTAAAATGGATAGTTACATTTTTGGCACTACTATTGTACAGTACAATATCAATTATTTCCTCTTGTTCGAACAGTTTTGAAATGTGTTATTATCTGAATTGGCACATTTCTGTTTTTGAGGCTCCAAGAAATGTAATATGGTATTTGCTAGCCACGAAGGTTGACTTGTTGTTGTTGTTGTTTGAATTTGTACTTGACTCTATGTTTCCTTCAAACTTGACCATTTCATTTGTAGTTCCTACGGCTGATTAAAAATGTACTTTAATAAAGAAAATAAATAAATATCATAAAGAAAACTCCGCCAGTTGGGATCTCAATTTTGACTATCATACTGCGCGCTATTTTCTATAATGTGCTGAAAATAAAGTACAGGAAATTTTATAAGGATGCCAAAATATATTTGTTTGGATATTTTTTATTTTTTTTCAAAAGTCATAATTTAAAAGAGGTTAAATTTACATGTGATTTATTATAAGTTTATACATAATATAATAAGTTTATAAGTTTATATAATAATAAATATTAAAATCGCGACCAACGAATGAATGACAAAACATGTGCGCAAGATTAAAACAAAACAATGAAACAACAAAACAATATTGACAAAAATTTCGTCGTAAAGGGCCTCTACACACTATCAATCGGCGTCAGCGATCAATGTCGTCGCTTGCTATTACACATCAAATTTGTCTACAACTTAATAAACACGCCCTAGAAAAAATATAATAAATATACTAGAAAATAAAATGCATTTAAACGATATTTTCGCTTTCATCCCTTTATGCGCGTATATACACATGAGAACTTTATCTCACACCTTTTTGTGAAATGCGAAATTTGTTTGTATTGATTCTAAAAAAAATTTTGATATTTCGTCAAACACGCTCATGTTTTTTCGTGTACAATAGGATTTTGTCGGCATGTAAAATTTTATTTATTTATGGAATGGAAGCGTAAACATCGTTGAAATGCAGGGATGATTTATTGTTAGCAGACTATGCTTTGTAACCATGAAGGAATTATATTTTTTATTTTAAATATTATTTGTATTTTCTATTTAGGTAAAATTTCTTAAATACCGAACCATGTAATTAAGAAGATTGAAAATATTAAATAAAATATAATATATAAAAATAAATATAAATTAAATATAAAAATTCATTTTTACTTATAAAATCATGCATAGCGCGATTGTTTTAATACTGATAAGTGTAAAATGTTTGGATTCTTCGGTGGGTAATAACAAACGACTACATCGATCGCTGACACCGATCGCTGGTTTGTAATACTCGCCTAAGAGAAATTCTAACACAGCATGAGGAGGAGATTAAAAAGAGCTAAGTACACATGCTGAGTATCACACGCAAGGTGAAATAGAAAATCAGTAGAACGGCAAAATAAACAATAATTTCTTAAGACCTTCTTCTTCTTTATTTGCCAATTCGATTTCAAATATTAGTGATCATACTCGTATAACATAACATAACATAACATAACATAACATAACATAACATAACATAATACTACTTTGTGTAATTATAACATAATGACATAACATAAAACTACACTGTTTAATTACCTTTTGATAAACACAATTACAAATTTTTTACTATTTCTGCGTATTGCTCTCTGCATCTAGCTATATTTATAAGGTTGCTAACCTCTCGTTTTTGGGTCCATTGACGGATGTTTTGCAGTCATGGTAATTGTTTCCTACCGATACCGCGTTTCCCTTCGATTTTTCCCTGAATAATCATTTGGAGTAATTCATATTTTGAAATTCTCATAATATGTCCTAGATAGGCTGTTTTTCTTCTTTTGATAGTTATTAACAATTCACGATCACATCTCATTCTTCGTAAAATATCATTATTTATAACATGATCTGTCCATGGAGTTTTGAGAATTCTTCGGAAAATTCATAACTCAAATGCTTCAAGCTTGTTAATATCAGCAATTTTCAAAGTTCAGATTTCCATGGCGTGTAGAAGTATAGACCAGACATAGCTTTTTACAAAGCGGGTTTTAGTTTTAATATTGAGTTCACGACTGTTAAGAACTTTCTTGCATTTAAGGAAAGTATTACGTGCTATTTCTAGTCGGCATTTGATCTTTTTGGAATGATTCCAACTTTCATTTATATAGCATCCAAGATATTTAAAATGTTGTACTCTTTCTATAGCAATATTGTTAATCATTACATTTGTATTGCTATAAATATTTTTTCGACTTACAATCGTATATTTTGTTTCATTTATATATATTCGTAGCCCATATTGTTCGCTAATGGTGTTAACCCTGTTTACTAGCCCTTGTAGGCGGTTTAGACTGTCAGCAATAAGAGCGGTGTCAGCTGCATATCCGATGTTGTTAATGAAAACGTCGTATACTTTCATACCATGTTAAATATCGCTAATGAATTCTTCAAATATGTTTTCTGAGTATACATTGAATTACAGTGGTAACAATATGCAACACTGTCTAAAGCATCGTGAAATGGATATCTCTTCTGTTATATCACCATCGTTGTTTACATGCGCAGAATTTCTACAAGTTTATTATGTTTTACGTTGTCGAACGCTTTCTCGTAGTCGATAAAACAGAGAAAAACGTCTTTGTGAACGTCTTTGCAGTTTTGAACTAAAATTTGAATACATAATAATACTTCCCAAGTTCCAAGTCCTTCTTTGAAACCAAATTGCGATTTTTCCATTACTTCTTCGCATTTTAGGTACATCCTGCCGTGTATAATTTTTAGAAATTTCTTTAGAGCATGTAATATAAGGCTGATAAGTCTATTTTCACTACAGTTTTTTGCATTTTTCTTCTGTGTTATGCAATGTTATGAAGGTAGACTTTACCCAGTCGTCAAGATATTGTCCAGTATCGTATACATGATTAAACAATTTTACTAGTAGATTAATATTTTCTTCATCAATTAATTTTAAAATTTCAGATGGAATCTCGTCTGGGCCAGTTACCTTATTGTTTATCGTCGATTGTATAGCTTTCTTAATTTCGTCTTTACTAAAGGATGAAGCCTTTTTGATTTCGGATAATGTTATCAGGAGTGTCAGATGAAGAGTTCGACGTACATAGCTCACGAGGTGGTCGATTGAACAAAGTATTTGAAATCTTTAATTTATATTCTTGACAGAATTGTACTAGTCGATCTCCTCACTCATTCTTTCATCTAGTCTATACTGGCCCATAACTTCTTGAACTTCTCCTCTTTCAACCTTTGCATTAAAGTCTCCGTCAATGATGTTTATTTTATGTGATTTGGTCAGTCGCGTAAGTTCACTTAATTCATCATAAAAAGACTCTATTTCGTCATCACTTCTGTCCGCAATTGGCACATATACTTGAATAATACTTATATTAATTGATTTGGCATTTATTTTCACCATCATAGCCCTGCCGAATTTGGAAATAAATCCAGTGACCAATATTGCAATACTCTTTTTCATTAGAATGCCTATTTCATTACAGAGTGAGTGATAAACCTTTGTGTTTTGAGAAAAAAATTATCCACAGTTGCGCCTCCATGTTTCGCTTTCGCCGAGTATATCTATATTGTGTTT